GAGATACAAAGATCCGCCTGCCACGGCCGGCGGGGAAGAGTTGTGCGTTTGCACTCTCCGGCACTTTATTGCGGTTGTAGGGAAGGTAGCATACCCAGCGCTGCCGTGCCGTGCAGGTGAACTGAATTCACTGGTCCCCAGACAAGGCTTCCTGCTGTAAGTGGGTCTCGCCGCTGATGGAAATAGCAGCAGATGTAGCAATTTGCTGCCATTCTGCCTGAGCGCTTGTGATCCCATCTCTAGCAGCCTCAGCCTGTGGGGAGGAGCTCCCTGGGTTGTCTGCCTACAAGTGCACCCATCTGCTTGAAATTGGATTTTCAGAATTTGCAACAGAGCCAAATACGCATAATTTTGAAATAATCCCAGGCTTTCATGTTTAAAAAGCAAAACTGTGAGGGGAAGGGAGTGTCCAACCTCCCTACTTGAGCCGGGCTCCCGGAGGTTGCTTTAAGAGACGTGTTTCAGTGCTGGATTCAGCCCAAGGATTTCTTTAGACAGCACAGGGTCTTTTCAGAAGGTATTTCTTGCTGCAGAATGATATAATGGGCCCTTAATCAGTGCACATGACAAGGCCATTTATCATTTGTGAACCAAATGTGAAAAGAATTGTGCTTTTGTTTTGCCTTTTCTCCCACCTCCTTGAGAGATCCCTTTTCCACCACTTCCACGTGTGATCTCCAGGATTCCTTCCCCAGAGGGAATATGTGTGTGGGGGTAAGCGCTCATGACAGCGCTACATCTGCACCTCATGTAAAAAGTTCTCAGCTTCCTTCCCGTTACCGCCTAGAGACCACATCACAGAGATGTGTTTTTAAGGAGCCGAATTTTTTAACTGATTTTTAAGTCCCATCTAAAGCTTGTGACTTCCCCTTGGAAAACGCATCCACGCCAGGCAAGCACTGGGAGTGTTTAGTCCTGTGGCTTGACTTATTCTGCTCCAGTGTTCACACCGCAGCCCACTCAGGAGTAAGTAAGCTGGCAAAAACCTTTTACAATTTGTAAGCATCTCACATCTACCTTAAGAAAATAATTATGTAAATTCTCTGCTCCCCTGGAGAGGTTTTGGAAGAAAACTAAAGAGATGCAATAAGAAAAAATGCTCAGGGCTGCCATTTTGCACCGTAACTCCTTTTGTCTCTGCAGTTGCCTGTCCCACTACCCTGTCGGTCTGATAACTGTGCTTTGCTCTCACTGCTTCAAATAGGCACCGGCCACCATTTAGACAGTTTGGCAAATAGGCTACCCATGAATTTCTCCTGGATGAATGCAGCGGGGTGGTACATAGCAGCGCAGGGCCTGCAGGTCAGCTGCAGCGGAGCATTGGCCTTTGAATGAATACCCAAAAAAGTGCAGCCAGATATCCAGAACGAAGATACTGAATAAGCAGGACAGCGTCTTGCCTGTATCATCATATTGCGATCACCCAGAGAAATTCCTTGTAACAATGCTAGACAAAAAAACATCAGCTTGGAAATGGGATTTTTAAGTGGAGGGTATCCCTGTAATCAAGCATAAATCAAAACCCTTTCCCTTTCCCCTCCTAATATGCGGCATTCTGGACTCGGTTCATATACCCCTCAGGTTTTCCCCCCTTTCCCATTTCCAACAGCAACCTTTGTTGTTACTAGCATAAAGAAAACAAAACTGAGGTCTCTGCTTATCTGCAGAGTTGCACCCTTCCAAAGCAGTTTTTTATCACTTACATGCTACCCTCCAGATAAGTGTGACTTTGACTATTATTTTCTAAGAAAGTGACTGAATACTGATTGTACGATTGCACATTCCCTCGAGTTCCCTGAACCACAGCTTGTCCGCGCAAACAATGAGTTCAGTAAACAAATGAGCTGTGAAATGATTGCATGTGAATGACATGTACTTAATAAATGGTGCTGTATTATGTCCTTGAGCATGCTGATAGTTCAACAAGAGGGAAAGAAAAGGGAAAATATTCTCATCCTTGCACTGCGTTAGGTTCTCACGGCTAAGTGGAATGGAGTGCATTGCTGCATAAACAGGCAATCAAACTTTTTGCCTTGTGGCTCTCATAATTACATGCAGAAGGGGAATATAGGATTTTTTTGTGCCGCATGCAGAAATAACCTTTGATTACAAAACTGATTGGCAAAAAGAAGTGACAGATCTTCAATACCTAAAAGAAAAAAAAAAGAAATCAATCGTTAGAGCAAAACTTTTCAACATTTCTCTCCCTCTCTCCTGCATTCTCACTTTGGTTTCTCTGAATCTAGCAATGCCTCTCAGAGCTCCTTAATGCTCTGTGCGAACTTTCAAATTAAGACCTTTTATCTTAATGGGAATTCTAATCCTACCGGGATGTGTTTGCCTAGCTGCACTTACCATCCCATCACGGGAGGGGTTTTTTTCTCAGGATTTCCTTTGATTTGTGGAATCAAAGCAGAGGAGTGAAGGCACCAGAACAGCTGACTGCTGATAACAATCGTGGAAAAGCTGAGATGTTATAGATGTTCTGTGAATTAAAATACTGCAGCTATTATCTAAAATTGGCAGCAGAGAATTCCTATGGGTTTTCAAGATATATCACTTTGGCAGCACCTGCATCTGTGAGAACCAGGGCAGACTGTAAAAGCTTGCTGGCTCACTGAATAACCCCACCGTTAAAGCCCTTTGAAATTTTGCACAATTGTGAAATGAGATCCTTTGACTTTCGCCATGGTAACACCCCTGTTGTTTTCCTTTGTTGACAGTGGAAGGCCTGAAAGTAGTGGAGATTGAGAAATGCAAAAGCGACATTAAAAAGATGAGGGAGGAAATGGCAGCAAGAAGCAGCAGGTAAGTTCTGCTTCGGACCTAACCAAAGAAATAAGCATCTGGTTTCAAACCCTAATGCAGCATTTCTGCAGAGTTGACTTACCTTCTGGACTTAGCAGTAAAGAAGCAAGGCAACCAATAACATTAAGGACAGTGGCTTTAATTTAACATTGGAAGATCTATGGCCACTCATCAATTAGAATAGCTCGGACCATGGAAGTAGAGAAAAAGGTCTTGCAACAGAGAGTTATTTTTCACCATACAGAATGGGAGTTCTTCATCCAGATTCACTGGGAGAGAGGGAATAGGAAAAGAACTTCTGTGAAGTGTGGTGTTTGGTTGGGAACCAGCTAACACTCGAATCAGGTCCAATATATTCTGGGAAAATATCAAATAAATATGTAGCAGCTCTTCTAATTATGATCTCATGCTATTATAAAACATCCATTTCAAATTCAACAAGAAATTGGGAATTTATTTTCTAATTCAAGGGCTCACTGTGATTATGAAGCTTGGTTTCGCTGTAATTAGAAAGCAGCAGAAAAAATTGCCTTTTGTACAGTATGCGGTCTCGGTTGGAAAGTCTGCCCCTGTGTCACTGAAATACATACCCCATTAGGACAAACAAATCATCACACTGAGATTATGAATGCTTCTGGGAAGGTTGCTGAAGAGGGATATACCGCGTTGCTCAAAGTATGGGTGAAGGGGATTTTCCTCAGCAAATGTAACTATGCTGCCTTGACAGCCTCTCTCTTTTTCATCATTTGGGGTCAAATTCTCTGACCTTTAATCAAAGCTTTTTCTTATTGAGGGCAATGGGAGATTTGCTAAAAGAATTAGGCTTTATAATCACTCGCTTTTATAAATTTTGCTATCCAGATACGTCAGGAGGCACAGTGTTAATAAATTCCTATTAAGTCTAAGGCCAAATTCAGCTGTCATACTTGCCTAAATGCAGAGTAACATTATTAACCTCAGATCTGCTCCAGATTTATACCAATAGGATAGTTTGCAGTTTGCCCTATGATTTGCATCATTTCTCGTTCAGGTGTGTGAGGAAATCTCATTAGAAGAATCAGAGCTCAGATTGGCAGCAAATGCAAAAACATGTACACTGATTTGTGCTGGGTGTGATGTGAATAATGTGTGTGTCTGTGCATCTGTCTTTACTTTTCCTTAACTGTTTTAGGGAGCTGGGAGAGCTGCGTTTACAAGCACAGTGATGCACAGGCAGATAGGGAATTAAAACCAAAAAAAGAAGTTATGGCAACCTCACATTTGCCCAGTTGCCGCCACATGCATAAGGAAGTTTGAGACTGTCCCAGCAGCAGCCATGACTCATTCCTGTCCCAGACCTTGCCACCTTACAATCTGTATTTTGTAGTATAAACAGCCATCTGTTAACAAGAAAAACAAGAATGGGGAGTGCTATGTCTGCCTAGTGCAGATGGCTCCAGTTGAGGTGTAGTCTTCACCGGGGGCTTCTAGTAAGATATGACAGCCACCAAAAGCCAGAGACCAGCAGGGAGTGTGATGCTGGAAAGTTGTGGTAAAAACCGGTGCCGTGCTCAGCAACAGGTAGTGCTGTGGGCACAGATGCCTAAGCTAGTGTGCTCTGAGCTCACACTGCATAGCTGCTCTCACTGAAGCAGGAGCTTAACTCGCTCTGCTCAGCATCACTTTGTGCCCTATCGATGTGGCAGCTACTTGTCACACCTATTCTTGATTGCCTTGAGCTGCGTCTTCCTCCTTTTGACTGCACAAAATCTCCTCCTTGCACAAAATTTTGCCCTTGATTATCTGTACCATAAGGGCTTGGGTGTCATAGCAGCAGCTAGGTGTGGCTAGGTTCAGTGTATAACCAGGGGTGGCCACGAGTCACCTCTTTTTGCTGTAAGAGTGAGGAGAGGATGCTCCTTGGTGGCTCGCCATGAGATGGGACCTCATCGGGAGCTGCTGAGGAATGATCTGTGGTTCCCTATTCCTGAGCGACCACAGCTCTGCAAAAGACATGCCACTAGCCCGTGGTGACCCCAGCTTCAGGGTACTTCACCCCCGAGCAGCTGAGCAAGCTCTTTCCCATTGGCTTGAGATACATGCATGCTGTGGGGGGAACAGGGCATCCCAGGGCAAGTGGAAATGGTTTTGCCCCTAATTAGACTTGTCATCCCTTGTGCAATGTCATTTGATAGATAATGCATTACAGTTGCAATTAGGGATCACACCTAAATTTAGTTAATGTACATAAGTATGTGTGAGTGCATATATTCCTTCAATCATATCACAGTATACATAGCTGTATTCTTGTGTGTTTACATACTCTTACATTTGCTGTTACCAAACGATAGAGTAAGGATGAACAGCTAGGTTTGTAGAAGTCATCATGCACAGTGAATTGTGCATCTCTCCTAGTCAGAAAAGCAAAGCAGCCCCACTTATATACCCTCAAATTGCTTTTTTTGCTAGTTTACTTTTTGCACTCACCACTGGCAGATGCTAACAACATTATGCTGTCGTTTAAAATCATGATCATTTTCAGATACAGTTTTACATTTGTAAAGGTCTGATGCATCCTGGCTCAGGTGTGTTCCCCAGTGTGGCAGGATGAAGGCTTCGATGTCTTACTGGGAACTAGAGGTAGTTGGCTGACCCTCAGCTAACCCTGGCAGCCAGCTCCAATTAGGGCAAGGAATGCCCCAATTTCGTTATTTTTACCCTACTAATACCCCTCACAGTGGAGTTTTGAGGAAACAGCTTTAGAAACAATTAAGTCAACTTTTCACCAACGGAGAATCTCCTTAAACAGAGCAGGAAAAGACACTGAATGAAGCCAGCTGACCACTATGAACTGTAAGATGACATAACTTCTGCAGGATTCAGACAACACCATCAGAAATGATAGCAGACATCAACATTAAGAGGAGAAAAGAAAAGAGACCCAGACCAATTTCCAACAGAGAAGCCCTAGGAAGTCATGCAAGATAGAATATGCAAAATAATGGAAAAAAGGGACAAATAAAGTTAATGGAATACTTTGGTTGACTTCTTTTGGGTGGTTTCATTTAGCCTCATTTGGCAGGAGGCTTGAAAAGTGAGAAAGGATAATCCAAATGTTAGGGCTACAACGATACATGCAAAATGCAAGCAGATCAACCTCACATGAGAGTTATTAAAGTTCATGTGACCAAAGACCTGGGAAACATGTCTTGAGTTAAAGCACCACCATTGCCATGGGTGATACCACAGAGGTCTTAGTTTTATTGTAACTCCTGTGGCTGTAAGTCAAGAAACTGCTCTCACACAGCAGTGCAGCCACCTAGATGTTCTGCAAAGGCTGTAAGGCTGGTGTGCACCTCCCACTGTCATGGTCCTCTGCTTGCATGGGATAGCATAAGCTTGGCTCTTCCACATTGTAGAGGAAGGAAGAGTGGATAACTGGCAGTTGGTGCTGTGTTAATAACCAGGCAAGTATTAACTACTTGTAATTGCTGGCAGCGGCTCCTTTCCTCCAGGACCGGGGAGCCAAGCAGACTGTGTCTGCCGAGCCTGTGCCTCACTGCTGTTGTCCCACCTGAAGGGCAGAAAGCAAGACGTTCATGCCATCAAAATGGACGGTCTTACCCAAGCTTTTACGAGGCCTGGATCTGGTCTGCGATAAGCCATGGGCTCAGTGGGTGCCTAGGCTAGTGAATGAGCACAGGCGTGCCAGTGTCCATGCTCAGCGTGGCCCCTGGCAGGGCTCTGCCATCCTTGGACAACTGTGCCGCCACGGACAGCAAGCTGCTCACTGAAAGGAAAGTTGCTTGGTTTAGACAGAAGTGATTGTGTATCCATGGATACATGCCTAAAGACAGATGTTCCTCATGTGTATTCACATAGATGGAGAAGGGACGACTGGGGTGTTGCACAAGGGGAGAAAATCCTAGAGGATCACACTTTTAAAGCATTTGAGCAACACCACATTAGAAAGAGAGAGGTTGGGGAGTGGGGTAGTTCTCCGAGCAATACCTAGTGAGAGACCAGAGTACTTCTGGCATTTTTTGAGGCACTGTGGTTCTGTTCCTACAATGTTAAGAGCTGAATATTTCATTTCAGGACTAACTGTCCCTGCAAGTATAGCTTTTTGGACGAAAACAAGAGGCCGACTCCCCGCCGTGATGTACCATCCTACCCAAAGGTACCATGCAATGCTTGCTCTTCCCGGAATCCTACCACATGCTTGCCATCCTCACAAGTGCTGGTTTACAATGCCTGACTCCCTAGCCATCTACCTCCTAGTTATTCTAAATCCAGGGCCTGCTCCAAAAATCCTTGAAGCCCATGGAAAAAGCTGTCGTTGCCCGCGGTGACTTAAAGTTGGATCCTCAGTAGTCTTTAATACTTGCAAACTCATTAGTGTTTGAAATGTTAATGAACATTTTGCATTCATCAACATTTAACACTCTTTTGTCTAGTTATATTTGTTTATTCTCCACGCTCATAGCAAACAATCAAAAATAGCCTATAATGTTGTACTCTAATTGAAAATAGCACTGCTGCCTGTTTTCTCCTAATGGATTATTTTTTAATTTAAAAAGTAATTTATGGGATGCTTCACCTAGGGAAACAAACAGAAAAAGCAACATTGGATTCTCTCCAGAATGATTCATTGTCCCTGTGAAAATGAGTTAGTGTATTTGCTAGAGAAAACAGTAATGCTTGAAGAAAAATGTTTACTGGGCAAGTACAAGTACAAATCCACAGTGATGAATGAGGCTGAAACCATGAAGCACACAGGATCTTTGGTCCTGGCACCAGCAGTCTTTGCCCACAGGAATTATTCAAAGCTACCAGGTTACATCTGCTCAGTGCCCGGCTCACACCTTCACAAAACACCAGCTCACACATGTGCAAATCATAGTTTGACAGTGGGCATTTGCTTGCACACATCAATGCTGGCTCAGCCACTTTGAAGTTCACATGGTCCCCTGTGATGCAGGTGTATGATATGGATGTGCATCCTTGCATTTTTGTCTTTAGAGCCTTACAGAGCAACAAATTATACGTTCCGCTGTTTATTCTGCTCTGCCTAGCAAAAGTGACCTCTAGGTCTCTGAAGTAGACATCATGAGACTTACATGTCTTTTAATTAACTTTTGCCGAAGAGGCTTGTGGTCCTGACACTAATGCATGTCTTCTCAAAACATCTCAGTTCTAAACCAGATTTTTTCCCTTGATAAGTATGTATGTCAGACCAAACTTGGAGGTACTGCCATGATATTAGGATCTTGAATTAGCAAGTGCTACGAAGAGTTGTACTGACTGACTGCAGAGTAAAGTGTTAGTCTGTATTTCTGTGTTATCCCTGGACCAAAGCTCAAAGGACTTTTGGTTTTAGGAGTTTGTATTCTGTTTGACAGATTTGTGAAATTTGTTATCAGTTGTCAGGTGCTAGATTTGTGCAATGTCAGTGAGGTTGGAAGTGGTGAGTATAACCGAAAGAAAATGTCATTACAACACTATTATCAAACAACAAATCTGTACTGCTAATTCCCAGTTTTCTTGCAGAACATCATATTAAATATCCATTATATATGCAAATGCAAAAATCATTGCCTTCTGAAGAAGGAAAATTATTTGTCCTTGGATTAAGTATCAACAATTTGATGGCTCAGAAAATTTCGTTCACCTGCTCAGTACAGTAAGCCCAAACTAATTAGAGACAGCCATGGTAAATGGGCCAATTGAAGCGACAAAGGTTTTTGTGTCCCAGAAAGACTCTGATCAATAGAGTCTTGAAAAGACGAATAGGTAGAGTCCAGATCTCCCCTGGTCTTTTAACCCTCCACATTCCTTTTTTTCATTTTGTATACAAACTATAACTGGCTGCTGAACTTGATTTTGTTTTAAGCCTCTGAGTGGAATGATAAAAAATCACTTGAATTTTGCAGGCTGACAAACAATTTGAAAATGTGGGCGTTCTTGAAAAAATACTCAAAATGAGAGCATAAATCATCTGAAAGTAAATATATCATACCCACCAGCTAATTTAACACTGTAAGCATAGACACTTCACACCATCCAGCCATGAATGGCTGTATGGAATGTTGTTGATGCTCTGCAGACAGCAGAACCAGTGCATCCAGGGATGGATATGTGCTCCGTGCCCTTTATATCTGCGTGCTGGATTTACCCACAACCCCATCCATAAGAGCTCTGCTTTCCTCCCTTTTCTCCCAAACCCTCCACCTCCCTGCTCCACAAGCATTTCCACCGATCAGTGGCCTGCCAGCTGATGCCGTGGGCACCTGGTGTGATCATGAGCAGCCGGTGGGAAGGGTGAGGAGGGTTGGGCAGGCAGTGGGAGATGTCAGGTGCTGTCTCCTTGGGAAATATGGCTGAACCCCATGTGAATGGAACCCCGGGAGTCCCAAGGACATGCCAATAACAAATCCCACGCCAGGGTGGGGGACCCTTACTTACGCCAGCTGCCTTTTTGTCTGCAGTACATGCTGTCCCAGGAGACCATTGAAGCACTTCGGAAACCAACCTTTGACGTCTGGCTGTGGGAGCCCAACGAGGTAAGGATGCCACGTTAGCTCGGTTAGCACTCTCTCTGAGAGACAACAAGGCCAGAAGAGCCCTTTGAGATGGTCTGCAGGGTTTTTCCCCTTTTCTGCCCCTTGCTCTCTATACTTAATTATTTTCATATCACACCAGAATACAGTACTTTTTCCTAACAGATGCCAGATAGATGATGCTGATTATCATACCCTGACTCCTCTTTATTTTTTTTGTTTAATCTCTTCTAGTAATGTCCTGTAACAACCAGTGCACTATCATTAGTGCCACATGAGTTTTATCCGAACAAATTGATCCCTAGGAAAGTGTATGCTTAAGCACATCATCAATAATTCCGCTCAAATCAATAAAGCAGCGTGCTGCAGTGTGAAGCCAGGCAGAGGTGCATGCATTGATTCACACCCTTTTAGGTGAGGGGTTTTCTGCAGTGTATTCTGAAGATGTTGCAAAGCCGCATGCACAGCCTATTAGTATTATTGCTTCATTTTCTTATTTTTCTTACTGCTATTAATATTATTCATTGTTCATCAATTGTATTGCAGAAGGTTCTGGAAGGCCCATGTGTAAACCTCTGTAGAAACACGAAGGAGAAGGATGTTTCTATAATGGCCTGCTTATAATATAATGTAACACTAGATTCAGCAAATACAAGCAAATCTCACCTAGGAAAAATGTAAGGGAGAACAAGACTAAACCAGGATTTTAGTGTCAGATTTTTCCCAGGGGAAGGATTGGGTGGGTCTAGCAGCACCTCCAGCAGCAATCACCTTAATTACCTTCTCAATCAGATATAGTGCATACAAGAGTCATTCTGTCTCAGCACCTGTAGATCAACATGACAAGGAAATACTGCATACCCCATCCACAGTAACAGCATATTTCCTTCAGGATATTTCATCATAGAGTAACAGAAGGACTCTCTGGGGGCTTTAGGTCCATCTCCCATTCACAGAGGCTGGCAGAGCTTCCCTTGGGTGGTCCATGCCAAGCTGAGGCTGGTGGTCTGCAGTTACTGCTCCCTCTCCAGCTCCTTTCCTCTGTACCACAGCCATACAACTGCTCAGGCACAATGGCTCGCCCCCAGCTTTTTAGATGCCTGTCAGGTCTTTACGAGGGAGATGAATTAGCAGGAGAGAATTATGACCTGCCAGGTGGACCATAACACTGTTGGCTCATTGTTGTTCTGACTATTAAGAAAGAATAGGGAGAGACAAAACCCAATATCCACAGATTCTTGTGTGCTGAGGCATAGTGTTTTAGCACAGTAACTCATTCAGAGTACCAGGAAACACTATATGGTGGCATGAACAAGGCTAACAAGAGGGTGTGGAGATTAGACATGCCCTGCAAGGAGGAGTGCTGCTCAGAAATAAGATACAAGCTCTAGTGAGCTGAGCACTATATGGGTTTATCTAACCTTTTAGCTCTGATTTACGTTTACAGAGAATATTTCAATTCTGTCAATGCTTGTTTAGCAATGAGCATTTGCCCACACGCTTAATGTGGGGCAGGCAGGTTATAAACCATAGTCTCCTGTAAGCAAATTAATAATGTGCTCTGCAGTATCTCAGTAAACAGAGCTATGCAGCAAGCTTGCGTTCTCTTTCTCAAATGCCCGCTCACTTTCAAGCCTTAGAAAAGTCCAATATTCAAGCTTTTGCTGTTGACCAAGAAAGGTAAAAATGAAAACTGAGATTCTCATGTGTTCAGGAGCAGGAGCTTTGGCACCCAGAGTCACCGTGCCACTCACCCAAAGTTCTCTTGGCAACACCTGGAGGGAGACAGAGATTTCTGAGGGTAATTCAGCCCTTCTGGATCAAGTTTATTGTCTCGGAAAGTCTTTTCTGAAACTATTGCAAAACATATATTCTACCTCAGGGACTAAGAACAAGACAAGGTGGCCTGCAGAAAAATGCTGTCCATGTGATCTGAGCACAGTTCAGCTCGTGACATTGTCCCTCAAGTCTTGCAGGAAAGTCTCTTTCTTCCTGTTCAGCTGACTCAAAACCAGCCCTCTTGTTACTGCATGAACTATGTATATTCCCTGGATAAATATAAAGTTTCATTAGATTAAATCATTTTTTCAGGAGAATTTTTAAGAGCCTAAATAACAGAACCCTAATTAAAAATGTCTCCAAGGCCATATTTGTGACATTACACTCATCATGTTAAAACGCCTGGATCAGTCTACAAGTCTAAAAACTGTGTCTGCTAACGTAATGGATACATTTCATCCCCTGTGGATTTTGCCTTCAGAAATGGGAATGCAGATGCCTAAACTCCTGAACGCCTGGAAGTCTGTTCATTTCTGACTGGTGGCAGCTGTTAAGTGCCCAGACACATCAGATTATCAATACTTTTCTTTTGCAATATTTTCAAATCCAGAAGGTTTGCTGAGAGTGGTAGTACTAAACTATCTGCGTCCCCCTTCCTACCACAGAGCAGATGTTGTCTCAAAAGACCAGCCTGCCTTTACATTCAGATATTGGGATTCATAGTTACAGTTTACGGGAGTGGATGGTCACAAACATGCTGCAATTTTGTAGGGTTGTAACTGGAGAGCTTTTGCTAAACAAAAAATCTGAGTTAGTGGAGTTAGGAACTCACGAGATGTCACAAAGAAAGAAGATATTAACACTTATCTAGAATAAACGTTTCTTTAAGTATCTCTTATTTTCTGCTGTCATTTTCTATACAGCTAGGGCCTGATCCATTTCTGAACAGCTAGGGCCTTCGGAGTCAGTGGAAAAACTCCCACTGATTTCATAAGAAAAATGGCAATACTTTTTGGTGAGAAGGAATTGCTATGATACACATGAACCAGAATTACTGAAGAGAGCTGGTGTGATTCAAAGCCTTGCGCAGAACCTATGAAGTCAACAGCAATCTGTCTACTTCAAAAAGCTTTCAGAACCTCTCTGTCTCCCCTCTTGCACTCTCTTTAATCAAGCAATCTTTGAACAACTTTCTTTCATCTTAACAAGAGGGCTCTACAATTATTCGATGCTTGCAAGGAGGAAATTCATTCTGCAATGTATCATAAAATAAAGTAACATTTACCAAGCCAATAACCTATCTGTTCCTGGCTGCAGATGCTGAGTTGTTTGGAACATATGTACCATGATCTTGGCTTGGTAAAAGACTTCAACATCAATCCTATCACGTTAAAGAGGTGGTTGGTAAGTATTTCAAATTCATGATATTTGCAATTTTTCAAATTCAAAAATCAATAAACAAAACATTTAGTCATGGAATTAACTTGATTTACATGAGTAATCCCACTGAAAGCAGTCAATCTACACAAATTCTTAAAATTTAAGTACTTCAGCAAATATTTGCATTCTTGTGGTAACAGATGACTTTTTTTAATGTTTTACATTTGTTTGCTGAGCTTTTATTACTGAAAGCATTTCATTTCTGGTGAATGCTCTTGGTACCTACTGTAAATGGAGATGAGTGTCTTTAGATATGGCAAAAAAAAGACAGTATGTGCAATAATCATTAGATGTCCTAAATCACAGTGAGTAAAAGAGCAAGGCAGGAAGGAAAAGGAGTTGCTGAGGAGTTAAATAACTTTCTTTGCCTTCATCTTCAATGTGGAGAACATTGCAGAGATGCAAGACATAATAAAGATAAGATCATACCAAAATTAAGATGTCTAAAGAAGAAACACTGGAGTATTTAAAAATCAATAAGTTATCAGGTCCAAGGGAGACCATAAGAAAGAATTTGCTAAAAAGCTGAAGAATATATTGGCTTTCTCAGAAAAAAACATCATGTTCCTAGAGAACTGTAGAACAGTAAATATTTGTTTAAAAAATATCTAGGGATACCCTGAAGAATTATGGTTAGTAAAACTTACATGTCTACCCAACAAACTGATTGAAACGATAATTAAAAAACATCATGATGTGAAGTTCATTATACAGATGTTTCACATGATTCTTTTAGCAAAGGATTGTATCTCACTAATTGTTTCTGATTACCTGAAGAGTATGGGCAGAATAGAAGAAACTGTTTTACACGGTTGATGCAGACTCCCAGAAAGGCATTGACAAATTCCACAAGTTCAGAAGGCATCTAGAAAACACAAAGCAAAACACTGGATTCATCATATCACAAAGTACAGCAAGGGCAAAAAGCACCTGGGGACCAGCGTACGCAGGGCAGTGACTGCCCCTGCTTGGTGTGCTGCTGCTGGCTGAAGCCACCAAGGTGTTATGCTGATCAAACACTGGAATAAGGGGTAAAATGGACTGATGTTACCATGTCTCCATAGAAGGCATAAGTCTTACCTGGAATTTATACCTAGTACTGGTTAAGTCCGTTTAGAAAAATGGTATGACTACAGTAAAGGAGATATTTAAAGGAGATACTTAAAGGAGATGTTGCAACAGGACAAGGGGTAATGGTGTTAAACTAAAAGAGGGTAGATTTAGACTAGATATAAGGAAGAAATTTTTCACAATGAGGGTGGTGAAACACTGGCACAGGTAGCCCAGAGAGGTGGTAGATGCCCCATCCCTGGAAACATTCAAGGTCAGGTTGGACAAGGCTCTGAGCAACCTGATATAGAATCATAGAAACATAGAATGGTTTGGGTTGGAAGAGACCTTTAAAGGCCATCTAGTCCACTGCCCCTGCTGTTCAACAGATCAATTGAACATCTAGTTGAAGATGTCCCTGCTCACTGCACGTGCGGTGGACTAGATGACCTTTAGAGGTCCCTTCCAACCCAAACCATTCTATTATTCTGTGATTCTATATAAGAAATGATCGGACCTAGGAAATCTCTCCCTGAAGAAGGCAGATGAAAAGCTCAGTATTGTTGACCTTAGAAAGCAAATGAAGAGAAGGGATGGGATGAAACCCAATACAATCAAGGCTAGCACAGAGTAGATAAAACTACTATAAAAATAAATAGAGAATTTCCTCCTCCTGTCTCACAGCCTGAAAACATGGGAAACAAGGTGATATGTCAACACACATCAACATGCCACCCACACACATTACTGCAGGCAGCTTCCTGTTAGCTTGTATCTCCAAGTAATTTGTTACCACTAGCATTTAAGACAGCCTTGTTATGAACAATGAGGGGAGTTTATTATGTATTTTTTACAAAGGTAAGACAGAGTGAGATTTCCTTTCTTAAACACTAGCTTTGCAGAAAGAAAGATGATTTTAAAAAGCCCCAGGGACTCTGCTTCAAACTATAATACTCCCCCAGGCACAGCATGGGCACCAGTTTGAACTTAAGTGGATGAGAAAAAGCCACCTCATGCATATGCTTTCTTTCTTGCTCCCACATCCACTGGCTACAGAAATGTTCCAGAAAGGAGAGGAAAGGATGACTAATACAACTCAGTGACTCCAGCCCTTCAGTGCTCTGAGTCAGGAGTCCTCTGGGATGCTCTGGGCTCCACTGCTGGATGTATACATTACATCTGTGCAGTGCTGGATGGTGCTTGGGCATGACCACGGCGTCCATGTGGAGGCTGTGCAATACTGCCCACCACCTGTGAGCCTGGCTGTCAACCATATTGTGCCATTAGATATTCATTTTAAAACCGTGTAATATATTTGTAAAGTCCTTGCTGCAGAATGATCTGAACAGCTTTTGCAATGAAGTCCCCCAATATTGAGTAAGCACTGAAAACCCACAGTTCTCTTGACCTCATCCAGAGCTTTGTGGGTTCCTAGAAGTCAGGTCCCAGGTTGAAGGGTTTGATCCTGATGGGGCTTGGGGGATCTTGAAGTAAATTCACTAGCTGGAGAAGGGGACATGAATTCTGTCCATGTCATTCATTCAGGCTCGGTAATTGAAACACATGCATAAGGGCTCTCTAGGGTCCAGGCTAGGGAAGAATCAGCAGAAGGGGTCCAGCAGTGCTGCTGATGCTTGCCTGTTCTGTGCAGGGCAGGATACCAAAGGCTACCCAGTGCACTGGAGGAATGACTGTGGGATGTGTTAACCCAGCTGTGCCAGCTTCACTCAGCTAGCCTGGCTGACAGTAGCAAGGACACATGGAAAGACAGGATTTAGCTTGCATTTGTAATGAGGGCACATAGCCAGGATCTGTAGAAAGTTAAAACACACAAAAATCAGTCTCATGTGCCTATATGGCTGAATCCCTTCCATGCTGTCTCGCATAGGAAATCCACACAGATACGCTAGTGCATGTGCATTCACATCTTCACTTTGCCAAGCAACACATCCCAAAGTGCCGCCTCTGAGCATTTGCAAACGAAATAACAACTACATTTCAACCCTGAAGATTTCAAAGCTGCAATTTGCATTCAGCGGGATGTACTTTGAGTTCTTTACACACCCCACAGTCATCGTTTAACCACCACATGGTTTGAAATACAAATTCAGGACGAGAGCACAGGGTCCTATCTCAAGATTGAGATGCACTTGCAGCTGTGCTGGGATGTTTACCCATTGCTAGCTGGTATGAGAGAGAAGTTGCTATGAGCTTTACCTGCTGACAAATTCTCGAAAGGCAGTAATCTCTCTCACCTCCCCCAGGAAGGCGGAGAGTGTCAGAGGACCTTGTGCTGTCACTCTGTCCTAGCAGAAAATAATACTGGGCTCCTGTAGGGATATACAGTGCTTCCAGAGAGGCTGGGAAGTGTATGTAATCATGTTTTTACAAAGAGCGAGCTCTTCTGTCTCTGACTGCTTCATTACCTCTCTCTGCAGCTGTGTATTCATGACAATTACAGAAACAATCCTTTTCATAATTTCCGGCACTGCTTCTGCGTGACCCAGATGATGTACAGCATGATCTCGCTCTGCAGCCTCCAGGTATGACCCCACCTCAATAGTATCACTCAATTTCCACCATGGGGCACATGTTCATCCACTGAGCACCACGACACCTGTGCCACTTTTCTTGCAAAAGAGGTCACCAGCTTGCTGGCAAGTGATGAGCTTTGCAGTAGCTGCACTTGTTCAGTCCCTGGAGAAAGGAGGAGCGGTGTTGCATTTCCACCTCTGGCTGCCCACTCAGTCACCCCATCCCAGACCCCAAGCACCTACACAGCTTTCTGAGGCTGCTGGGAAGCTACCTTCACCTCCTGGATATCCCCAGTTTGTACAGTGAAGATCTTTTGATGCTTTGATAGCATGAAACGTCTATGAAGCAGATCCAAAAGCCTACTAAATTATGGTCTGTGGATATAGTCTTCATCTGTGACACAAAATGTTCCCACAACAGATTTTCTCCAAATGTGTGCTTGCACCTAGGTGAGCTACTGCAAATAATGCCTTGCATGTACTGTATGCAATATTCACATTTGTCCTGTACTTTGTCCAAAACTATAGGCATAATTTATTTTCATTGACTGGATAACCAGTGTTTATGTATTAATTTCATTTCTGTACAAACCAGATTTTATTTCATTTAAAAACCCCTTTCTTCTTCATAGTTAAACATCTCAGTTAATGGCCTAAGTCTATTTTCTTGCCAATAAGAGTATGAAGAAAAACTTGCTTTAACGGCAGTTCATCCTATTGAGAAGCTGTGGGAATGCAACACTTTTTTTTTCACTCTTTTAATAACTTTAGTTGATGCAGAATGCAATGGCAACTATGCTATCTTCCAACCCTCCCTTAACTAATCAGGATGCTCAAATGACTTGTAAGAGACTGTACTAATATCTCAGTGCTTTTATATGATCTCTGCAGTAAAAGCAAGTTTCAAGCAAATTGCCTTCTCTGAGCTGCTGTTATTTAATGCAACAAAGGCAAATCTGAGTCATTTTTACTGGAAGGGAAGGCATAATTCTTTTTCTTGACTGAAGTAAATTGATCTATGGAAAAACACTTCATTTTGCCCAGATATTCATTTTGCATTTCTCTAAAAAGTAAATGTGGGTGGGTTTTTTACTACTTTTTATTTATGGGGATAAGGGAAGTAGAAATCGTAATAATACATTATACTGTTTTGTATTTTGCAGGAGAAATTTTCCCAAATTGACATCTTGATTCTCATGACTGCAGCAGTATGCCATGACTTGGACCATCCGGGCTATAACAATACGTAAGTCTGTCTCTTGCTTTCTGTTCCCTTAAAATTTATTGGGAAGATAATACCAGCTGGCATTTTTGGTAGATCAGATTTTCCTTCTCACAGCTTGAGCTGGCCATGACCTTCCCCCAAGGCCTTGCTGTTCACTCACACGTGGGCCAAGGCAGAGCTTCATGCAGAAAACTGAGGTCTTGGTTGGGGTTGCCAGCTGTCCTTGGCTCTGTAAAAGGAAAATGCTTTTTCACATTTCTATTCCAACGCTTTCCCCCACTCCTGAGAAAACAAGGTAAAATGTTCTACAGCTGAGAGAAGGGGCATAAATGATTATAGCTCCGTTGACTGAAATGGAATAATTGCACTAAAATGCAAAGGGTGATTTAACTTACACCTTATTTCATAATTATAAATAATGAAGTGCATATTATTCCATTTATTATCATGTGAGGAAATTAGAATTGTTGACCCATGGACACTTTTGTGTGCATGTATGTGTGTGTGAAAAAGAGAGAGAGAGAGAATCTAATTTATTTGTAGCCATTCATTAAATAAGGGCAGAACCCAATTCTGACTGGGATCAGTGAGAATCTGCCCGTTAACACTCGTGGGGGTTGAACGAAGCCCAGACATTTCCTTCTGTGTTTGTTCTATGTCATTTTAAGCTACAGAGACTTGGTAAAATTAAAAAAACAAACAAACCATACAGGGGAATAGTGCCTGAGATGATATTAAATTAATATCTATCTTCTCTAAAAATCTGATTGAGTATTAATCAAAAAACAAACTGTAGCTAATTGAATAAGTATACAAAAGAATGTAAATAAAAGTAAGCAGCATGATTTAGAGCAGCTGGTGTGTGTCTGCAGGAGTTCTCATTGTTTTTCTTCACATCAGCTATCAGATAAATGCACGGACTGAGCTTGCGGTACGCTACAATGACATCTCCCCACTGGAGAACCACCACTGTGCTGTGGCTTTCCAGATCATTTCCCAGCCAGAATACAACATTTTCTCCAATGTTGACCAGGACCAATTCAAACAGATAAGGCAGGTATGAATGCTGCTCCCATCTGTGTCATACAAACTGTTCCTGAAGACGTAAGCACGCACATGCTTCACTGCTGTACAATGCGAGTGAATCATTCTCACCAGAGGGTAGGACTGAAAAAGCCCCTCACACTGGAAGGATCCAAGAGGGATTCTTCAAAAATTTCCACAGCAGCACTCCCTGGAATGTCTTGCTGAGAAATAATGAGTACATCCTGTCTATTAAAGCCTATGACATTTTGGGAGTAGCTGTTTGTATTATTGAAGGAGCCAATTAGCTCTGACTGGGAAAGGATTAAGCTCTCATGGCAAAAGTTTATGCTTTAAGAGAACATTGTATTAATTTTAAGAGGGGCTTCAAAATGGGAAAAGATTTACAACAGCAGAGCACTTGTACTGTTGGAAGAGGTTCTGGTGGACCGGGAGTCATCAGTTATCTCTGAGACAGTGAACAATACTACAATTCCCATTAGAGAACTAAGGGACAAAATGCAGTCTTAGTTTCCATGTTACACCTTCCTTACACACCAAATGAAAAAGCAGACCAATGTAAGGGCTCAGATACCAATCTGGTTGGAGTTATTGATTCTGTCAGTGCATGAGAAGCAGGCATGGGTCCAAAATGGATAATCTGTATGAAAACCAACAACTTTAAATTAACCACGTTTTCCCATCATAAGCTCTGACTAGCAGGAGGATAGAGAGTTCCTTACACATTGGCTGCATCTGGGTATTTCAAAGCCCTTAATCCGAGGAGGATGAGCACAGAGGACATCCACATCTACTGATTTTTGTCTCTTTTCAAGGCCACTAAGAGTCAGCAGCAAAACCTATAGTGCTTTCCAAGGAGCCAAAAGTGGATCTTGGCAAACAGTGTGGCTTTTAACATGCTGTTGTACAGTTTGTTTTTCCACAATTTGTCAATCAGAAAGGAAAAACCTCAATGCCTCTGGAATAACACACCAGTGTTAGAGATCGATCCAACCATGATCTCCATACACCATGAACTCTTTATAACGCTCTTCAAGTTTGCTTGGTAGTTTCAAGTCAGAAACGTCCCTTGTCAGTGTTAACAATGTAATGCACCTGAAGCTTTTTGTGTGTAAGAAAGACTCTACTTTGCTCTGTAATAGTAGACTTTGTAAAGAGTGTCAAGTTAATATGTGAACATGTTTTCTTTGCTAGGGGATAATTACATTAATCCTGGCTACAGACATGGCAAGACATGCAGAAATACTGGACTCTTTCAAGGAAAAAATGGAAAATTTTGATTACTCAAATGAAGAACATATGACCTGTGTAAGGAGGTTTTGTAGATTATTATTTTTCTGTGCATAGTGTGAAAGTTTGTAGATTAACATTCAGTTGTTTAAAAACCAAGATTCAATATATATTATCAAAACCAAATCCTTCCTACATCCTCTGCCCCACCAAAAAGAATTAAAATTCAAAAGTGCTCTATATAAAATAGATTATTCCAGCTTTAGAAATCCTGGAGTCTCATCAAGAAAAAAAAAATATTTACTCTTCCAGGAGTAAATTTTTTCTGTATCTTTCAGGACACAAATTCTTACTGCTCATTACTGTGGTACAAAAAGTATCCACAAGAATACAAACTCCAGTCTCCGCTACTTCCTAATTCAGTTGTCTTTGATGTCCAAGGAAGCCTCTCCCCAGCTGCCCCTGAGTGCTCCACAAACAACTTCATGGTCATTTTGGCTGAATCTCTTCATGCAGCAGATAAGAGCATGTCCCACTGTGACACATCCCAGTGCTACAGACAGGGAAAACCGAGGCAGAAAGGGGATAAGTGATTTACACAGGGTAACTGAGAGAGTGAAAAAGAATCCAGATCATTTGAGACCTCGGATTTAATCCTGAAACTGTCCTTTCTGTTTGAAGACATTGCCTCCCACTGCATTGTAAAGACATAAGCTCTGGATAGGGGAAAAAGGGCTGGCAATGACTGCAGTATTAACATATTATTCTCCTTCAGCTGAAGATGGTACTGATAAAATGCTGTGATATCTCCAATGAAGTCCGCCCAATGGAAGTAGCAGAGCCCTGGGTAGATTGCTTACTAGAAGAATACTTTATGCAGGTAAGAACGAGGGAGAGATGCAGTTGCACAAATTGCTGCCCTTCCTGAAGCCCACCTCTGCTCTGCTCTGCCCAGGCTTGCTCTAGGATGGAAAGGCTTCTTTTACAGAAAACGGGAGAAGGATGTCAGCAAGAAAAGCTGTTCAGAAAGCAAACGAATGCAATTGACTGCAATTTGCAGATGAAAGACAATAGCAACCTAGAAATCCTAATACTGGCAGACTGAAGGTTGTTCTCTGTAAAGTGGTTGCCTTGTGAGTTTGTTTGACGTATAAATGATTTTTGAGCCAAAATGGCAAGAGCAGTGGCAAGAGAAAGCTGTCAAGTAAATGACATCAAATACCACACAGGAACTAGTTTAGCTAATTTTCACTGTGTGTGAACAGTTGCCTAAAGAGAAGGCAGACGATTTGCTGAGGTGTGCAAAGTCAGACTTGAAGCTCCCCAGACCACTGCTCCTCACTGGATTCCCAGCTGGACACAGTTTCTGATTGCTTAAAAAATGATCCCTGGAAGAACAGCCCTCAGCTGCCTTCAGCACATGGGCTCCCAAGCAGTGTGTATGTGCAGTGGAATCTCAAGGGACCCACAGCTGCAGTGCTCTGAAGAGGAGATGCCAGAGCTGTCTTGTGTGTTTTGTCTATACTTTGATAGAGTGCCTGCTAAGGAGGGCTTCTCACAAGAGGCAGAGACCTCAGATGACGTGTCAGAAACACTCCTCGCTCTACTGCATCTGCAGCTTTTTACTCAGAATGACAGTATCTGTGTGCCTTACTGTTTTGGCCACCCAGCAAAAGCACTACGTGCCAAAAGAATCAATAATTGAGAGATAAAGTCTGCTACAGGATTTCTTTTTTGCGCACACAGTCTGTGAATTCCTTGCACATGAACCCACATAGAAACAGTGAGTTATATGGTCAAGTGGGTAGCTCGGTAAACTCATTGAGTCAATGAAACTGTTCTCCATTGACCCAGCTTGCCAGAACTAGTTTTAATCGTTAGTAAAGAAGGATATATAATTTCTGGTTGAATACCCAAAAATAATCACTCTCTGGAGAATGATGAGGAAATCAAAGACCTATTCCTTCTCTTCCAGAGCAGCGAAAGTCATCGCCACCTTTCTGAATGCTCAGAAATATTTTACCTCACAAGTCCCATGGGTTTTCAAAGAGAACCAGGTGGCCTCATTGGCATGTAAGCCTGGAGGTGAATGCTTTCATGCCAGTGCTGTGCAGATGTAACCAGACAAAGTTCTCTTTATTCAGAGGCTTGCTCTCAACAAAGCAGGAGACATTGGCCAGAGGGAAGCATATTGCTATTCTGTGCTATCTTCAGACACCACTGAGATCTGTATTTGAAGGCCACTGCTTTTTAGCTAGTGATCTGCGTGGTACATTACTCTCCCCACAGGCTTCTAGCTAAGATTAATATTTGTTAACTCTGAATTTGTTCCAGAGCGACCGAGAAAAATCTGAGGGGCTTCCAGTGGCACCGTTCATGGACCGCGATAAAGTGACCAAGCCGACAGCACAGATCGGCTTCCTGAAGTTTGTTCTCATCCCCATGTTTGAAACAGTAACAAAAGTAAGTCACCCAAGGCCAGACGCAGAAGTGGAGTTGTGCAGAGCGTCAGTGTTTGCTCTGACAGGTGTTTAGTTAGCCAGAGAGACAGGGATGTACAGTTCACACCCTGTCTTTCATCTCATTTCTAGCACGTACAAGTTAATGAATACAAAAGGAAATGTTGATATTGTCTCTCTTGTTTTCACCTAGCTATTCCCAGAAGTGGAGGAGGTGATGCTCCAACCCCTTTGGGAATCCAGGGACCGCTATGAGGAATTAAAACAGATAGATGATGCTATGAAAGAGGTAAGTTCTAAATATCTCTTTGATAAAGAAAACACTATGATTGAATAAGTCAAACATTATAATTTAATAGCAGCTTAATTCTGAAACAGTAGGAATGCTTATGGCATAATCATGAGGAACACATTCATTACACCTGGCTAGAGAAAGGCGTGTACCATGAGCAGTAAGTCTGCGCAAGGGCATGCCCTTGCAGAATTGACCAGGGACCACACAAGTATGGCAGTGGGAAGGGAGCTGCTTGCAAGAGAGGAACCTCGAGACAAACCCCAGAGATAACCACCTGTGGCGAGTGTGTTAGCAAACACCTCTTCCTGGAGGGAGCTGCTTTCCCCTGGGAAGGAGTTAGCCTAGGCTAGATTTGGAGGAAAACATCCTGGGGTTGGGCAGTTCAAGGCACTGCACCACCAATGTGTAAGTTTATTTTCTGGGAAGAAACTTCCACTCATGTGTCTATCCCCAAGGATGTGCTTGAAATTTTATGAGGAATTACTCTCTAATACACAGCACCCAATAGGATTAAACACACAACAAGTGAAGTCATTTTATGGCCCAGGCTGAGTGGGAACCTCTATTTACAGGGCGTCTCTCATTTTAATGTGTAAGGCTTAGGGGAGGTAGGATGTACGTGTAACCACATTTGTTGTCTCTGACCATGTCTGCCTTGCCACAGGAGCCTGACAGGGCAGAGACCGAGGCCAGGCCCCGAGAGCAGTTGCCCCATGACTGCAGTGCAGCAGCCGGCGTGCTGGCCCGGCTCCCGCCGCGCCTGCCGCCTGTGGCACCGGGCCTGCACGCCTGCCTTGCACGCCTCTTCGAGTGCTTCCTTTTCCTGCCGAGGCAGACAACAGAGCCACCCCAAATGGCATCACAGTGTAGGGTTTTTCTGACACAAGCAAATTTATCATGTAGACGGGGTGCTATTAGTCACTCTGTCATTAAAATAAATTGGGAAGTGCCCTAGGGCACTAGTTGTGCTGATATTGTTTGATATGTGGGAAATGGAGGTTCATTCACTTGATCATCCTTGGCTGGATGAGGGGAATAGCAGCTTTCTGGTGTCGCTCCCACCTCCTTCCAAGTGCTTTGGAGGAAAAGCCTCCCACTAGCACAAACACTAAAGATGGTTAATCAAAAAGCACATGCTTTGATGCACTAAGTTATAAATCAGAAGAAAGTCTTTTAGGCATTCTTCAGTTTAAAGTGGAGCACTTCTCAAAGGAGGGAAGAAGACTCAAATATGACTGCCAGACTTTCCGAGTCCTATTCACCTTTCAAGCTGAGCTGAGGTTTTACTTCTGGTTTACAGAAGCTGTCAAAACAGAAATTTTGTACAAACTGATGGAGTTTAATTATGGTGTATTAGCACAAGAGGTCTTAGGAAAATAGAAGCTGCCTGAATTCAGAAATATCCTGAGACAAGAGGAGATAGTTAATAATAATAGAGCCTAGCACGGCCGATGACGAGAAACACCGAGTGCTGTTTACTCAGGACATACATCCAGACATGTTTGGATTAAACGGTGCCTGTGATATACCACACCACTGCCTATTATTTCCCGAGAAATGTCGCACATGCCTTGCGGAGAGATGAACGTTCAACTCACAGCAACAGTGGAAAGCAGTCCTGTGTGAGTCAGGGGTATTAATCCCACTTTGCTCTCCATTTCAGTTGCAGAAAAAGAAAAATGAAAGTTTGACCACCAGCAGTACCGAAAAGTGAGATGAAAAAGACTTTGAGCAAAACACAAGCCCTAAGGTTATTTTGGTTTTGAGAAATACTGTATTTGCCAAACAGACATGGTGGATCCGTCAAAATCCAACTGGGACCATGTATGCGGAGAGGTGGCGGGCACGGATGCCCTGCCTGCCTGCCTGCCTGGGTGCCTAGCCTACAGCCTGCAGCCTGCTCACGCAGGCGCTGCCGCTGTCGGGCACCAAGGGCTGCCCTCACTTCGGCATGCCCACTGCAGCCCCCCCAGCAGGTCTTCCCCTGCGGACCTTGCACAGGTTGCAGCATGGCTCAGATCTTCAGCAGGTTTCCCTTCTTGGTGACCCCACTGACCACTACTACCAGTCTGTAGAGACAAAGTGGAATTCAGTTAAGGAGCCTTTTCTGGGAAATGATCCACTGACATTCGAAAACAAAAGAAAAGGTTGTTTTAGTCAAGATACTATATATACGTGTACAGCAGTGTGCGAATTACAGCATTGCTTAACAGATGCTTATATTCTGACAGGGGTCCTGCCATATATTTTTGTTTGCCGAGTAGGCCCTAATGACACATTTCTCTGTATTATTCTCTGAATTCCGTAGTGTTCACAGTACATTCAGAAGCCCAACATAGTGGATACTTTTTTTTTTGTTTTCTGCACTAGAAGAAATCAGAAGAAAACTTAGTGAGTTTGCAGGTTCGCTTTGTGGCCTGGTAGAGCTAGACATCACAGGATCCTTCAGCACGAGCAAAGAAGGGAGCACAAAGCTGAAACCACTGTGCAGGCATATTTTTATCCTTGTGGATGCAAAAAGCAACAAGAAAAACCTTCAAAGATGTACAGATTATTTTTTTTTTTACTTTTAAACTGATCTGCTAAATAATATATTCTTCTACAGAAATGGGTGTTGTATTTGTTTTCTTTTTCCTATGCGTTCATGTGAGAACTGTCTCTGTTCCTAAAGACAAATGCGTTCATAATGAATACAAGGTAAGGGGCTGTAAAGGAGAGGGGAGGGTCGGTTCTCCTTAAGAGGAAAAGCTTTAGAAACATTTTTTGTGGTATACTTGCTTCATAAGCACAATACCAAAAGAGCTTCACTTGCCTTGATGACTTTGTAAAGGCTGGGAGCCAAGCTCTGCCCGGAGTGGCAGTCACGCAAACAGACAGCAGACAATACTGTGATCGACTCCTGTGCACCGCCTTGCTGAAGTGGGGGGCCACAAGAAATTCCCCTTCCTTGTGCCCATGAGAGGTGAGCCACGGCCACGCTGCTCACCCACTCCTGGTTTCTCCTACTGCCGAAAGGTTGCCCTCCCTTGGGATTTCAGCGGACAGAACCAGTTCCTGGCCTGGCATGGCTGCTGAGACCAGTGACTCGCATGCACCCTGGCTCGCTGGCATCCCCCCCCGGCAGCCGTAAGCATCATGCATGTTGCTCCAGTCCTCCTTGGATCAGTTCCCGATGCTGCCCCATCAACTTTGCAAGGTGTGTTAGCAACAGGGGTAGCACTAAGTGCTATGCCTCTGCAAAGTCCAAAGCCACATGTGTTTTCTTAGCTGTTTTTTCAAAAAGGTATGAGCAGGTGGAAGCCAATCTTTCCCCCACGACGCAGGAAACTCCTTAGGAAGCTCAGCCTCTCTGGCAGGTGTCTAGTACCAAGCTCACCACTGAACAACAAACCCTGCCTCCTGCTCTGGAAATTCAGGTTTATTCTCCTGTTGTTTCTGCACATTAATTCTGAGCTTAACTCTTGTTTCTCCTCCAGCGCCATTTCCCATGTTTCATCTCTCTCTTTTGCACAAAACTGTATTACTTCAGCTACTCTCCAATCTCTCAGGGAGATCAATATTACCTTGAAACATCCATCCCTTTACCCTGTTCCTGCTTGCACATTTCCAGAGACCCATGGCAGACCCACAGCTAGTTCTTTCTGCTGGTGCCTCTTTCCGCCCAAGCTGCCTTCTCCTTTAAACAGCTTTTAGTGTGTGTGGTTTGGGGCTTTCTGCTGTAAACTGGAGAAGGATCTGATCCCTGGATTTGAACAGTCCTGGAAGACCCCAAGGGAGATGAGAAGATCCAAGCACAGGGTCAGCTCCAGGCTACACAGACATCTTCATGAATGGATGAACTAAAACCTAGTTGTGATTAACCTCAAACTTTTGATGATTGAAAGTTGGATCTGAATTATGTAGTTTGGGTCTTTTTTCTGTACTAAATCTTATAATCCAAAGTACATTGTGACCCAGATTGTTCTGCTGTGGAATTCTTCACTTCTTTTTCACAAGTAAATCAAATTTACCATCTCTGTTCAAGCGGATTTCCGTCACAAATCGGCTCCCAAAGCAGATGTGCTGTGCAGGAGCTATAAACAATTGCTTAGGCTATGCCAAGTCCTGCATCGAGCTCATTACATTAGATGAGGAAACCTGCTGGAGGAACTTGACTGCACCCTCCTCCCACTAAAACCGTTTAAGAGTTAGACCCTGATAGGAAGTTTTGTTTCAGTTGGAAGGATTTTCTCTAACCATAAACCCTAATCCCACAAGTATTTATGCATGCACTTAACTCCCACAAGCCTAGTCATGGACTCTGGCGTACAGTAGCTAATTGCACGGTGCAGGGCAGGCTCCTTTGCTTTCTCTAATTGAAGTGCATGGGAGTTTGAGAATTGATGGCCCTTGGTGCTTGTTTTGGCTCCACCATTTTTAAGAGCAACCTGAAAATGGTTTCCTGGAGAGAGGTGATCAGAAGACGCTGGTGAAATCCCACTGACTTTATTTGAGCTGCAACAGAAACGTGGAGAAGGGAATGCAACCCGTCCTCAGGGCTGCACTAGTGACTGTCGTGATGCTATAATGTGCTGTGCAGCTTATTGAAAGAACAGGCAACATCCAGGCTGCTATTCATGGACAGCTGGAAAAAAGACCACATGCAATCACAACCAGCTATTGATATAAATGGGAATACCACAGAATTTTTTAATCTCATTTGCCTTTGTAATATTAGATTTCTAAGAGACAATCCTCCCTCCCAGCATATGTTTAACCAAGGGGAATGAAAGGCACTCTCTCATAATTCTAGTTTCTTATACTTTTTTCATAATATTTGATGCTGTGATACATATGCAAATTAACAGAGTTGAGAATTTTGGCAATCAGCCCATTAAAATGTCACACATTTTCAGGATGACATTTTGAAACTACACTTGGCATGAAAATCAAGTTTTTTGAGGCAGCCAGACAGATGTCTCAAGTGTGATTTAATCTTTTCTCTCCCTAATCCAATGAATAAAAGTGAATATTATATCTCAGTGCTGCCATTTCAGCTTACGGGATGTGCCTTACAAAGAACTTTCTATGATCTGTTGCATGCATCTTTTCAGCATCATGACAGTGCCACATGCACCCTAGCCTTACATTGCTACACCTATACTTGCGATCAACAGGTTATAACTATTCCATGCCATTTAGCTTGGAAAACTAACAATCAGCCCTGGGTTTTTAATTCTTATTTTTTAAAAACTGTGAGATCCCACAGCCCCATATTCATTTCATTTTTTAGTATGGCTTTCATAATCAGATCAAACTAAGGCTATAGTATAACTGCATGTCTTGGGAAGGAAGCAGCTTTTTAAAAATGTGAATACCCCCACAGCAGCCAATTTGCAACGAAAATTTAGTGTATGTTAAATACACGGGTTATGTAATGCCAGAGGAGTATCTGTACATGGAAATTGTTAATCTCAGTCCTGCCTCTGCGCAGCAATAATAATAGCATCTGTTCCATATGTGAGCGAAGCAGAGTGCTGGTGCAGACTATGATCCCACCAGGAGAATCACTGTCAAGCAGCATTCAATTTTCCTGTTTAAACAGTGGATCTTTACTGCAAACTGCCCCTTCTATCTGGAAAGATCTGAAGAACAAGTCTTACCTTTCTGTCTGGTTTGCAGTACTAAAAGCACACACGCACTGCCTTTTATCCTCCTAGCATATTGTTCTGTTTTGCTTGAAGGTTTCTGTGAGAGAGCAGACACAGTGGGGCAAATCAAGTACCCTACTAAGGTACAATCTCCCCATATTTACCTCTTTTCCCACACTACCGTCTCTTTGATTTCCCTGGGGCAAGGCGAGGTATAAAACACAGCAACATGCCTGTTAGTGAGCAGGAGCACTCAGCCCCAGCCTGCAGGAAGGATGTACATGAAAGGACAGCTCTGATGTAGGGCCATCCAGCTGCTGCGCAGATTCCCAGTGCAAAAAGATTACTTTCCACAGGGTTGCTCTGGAATTAGGCACATCCCAGCGCCAGGTTGTAGTCCAGAGGAAACCAGGCAGGTCCTGCCCTCCTGAGCCACCCCTCTGTATGTATGCACAGCTCTCTGCCATGCAGCACCCTTGCAATTAGGACTGTTCAGTGCCGGAAAAGTGAAGCAAAGTGTGTTTAAAACTGCTTGGATGCTGCTTTTCTAGGCAACATGGCAGTACAGCGGGCGATCTGTCCTTCCTCTCAGCTCTCCAGGGGAGTGCCTAGGCAGAGGGAAAGTTTGTACTCTGAAAAACTGGTGCAATGGAGTCCTGGTCAGTGTGTGTGTGCTATGACAACACAAGAAACCAGCAAGTCTTAGTAATAAACCTGAGTCTGCCACTGGCTTCAAATACCACCTGTGGCAAGCAACCAAGGCAGGGCTTCCCTCATTTCAAAGAGAGACCCGCCTCTGTAAAGCACCTTGTGGTATTCAGATGTAAAATGCTCCTTACTGCAAGAAGCAACAGTTACTATTTTCAGAAAATACTACTTCATAGAAACTTCTAGCCAAAAAACTTATTAGATGTTCTCATAAATGAAGAAGCTGTAACCAACAAGTCAAACATCTCTTTCTTCGTGATCACATTGTAGTAGATCTGGCTCTTTGCTATTGAGAAGCCATACTTATCACTCTCTCACACACACAAAAAAAGCTTTCTGACTATTTTGGCATGTAATCAGGATTTACAGGTGTACT